CTGGTCTAAGGGAGGCAACCCTGTTTTCAGATATAACGTAAGCATTTGAAAAGTACAGAAGTTATCCTGACGAGACCTGGATACTGTGGGTAAAATGCTTACAGGCGTATTGTCAATAGAGGCATCACCTGTAGCTGTTCGTACTGGGCTAAAATGAACTTTGTGTCTGAATGTGGCAAATGTACGTAATAATGAAGAAAGGTATAATGAAATGAAGTGCACTGATGTTGAAACGGCTTTAAATGTTCTGTTTTGTGTTGAACTCATTTTCCAGAATTGAAATAGTATTTTCCTGTTTTAAGTCATACCATGAAGGAAATTTGTTCTTCATCTCATGTACATGAAACTTTGATCTTTTGATCACCACAACCAAAGTACCTGTAACCTATTGTTCGATTGTGAGAAAGGGAGAGAAAACGTTTACGTTTACTTATTCTATTTCTAGTGATATAAACAGAGGGATGGTTTGAATATTTGAAACGATGTACGATATGAAGGTTGTATAGCACTGTGATCGAACTACGAATTACGAATATGTTCTGATTACTGACTTGAATAATCTGTTTTTTATTCAATTTAATTTAGAAAGTATGTGAATTTCTGAGTAATTTATCATTATCACTGTGAGGTGGAGGTATTTGAATTTCCCTCAGACGTTTGTATGGATAAGAGCGCCAAAACCCTTTGCATAATCACAAGAAATCTCTGTTGAAAGCCGACTCCATTTTACGTTTCTGACTTTATTAAAAGCATCACTATCAACTTTCATTATTTCCGGGAGACATTTCCCATGTAAGCTCTCATCCGTAGCATTCTAAACTTAATAAATATAAAGCGCCAGAGAATAACCAGTCTTGATTATCTACCGAAACACATTCCATTGGGCGTAAAAGGCAAAATAGCAGGGAAAACTATATGATCGATTACTGATAATCACTGATATCCGAGATCTCGTTGAGTTACAGGAGTCGTCAGTCTCTCGTTTACACAGCGTGTTGAACCTACACAGAAATCTGTATTACTTGATGTAGCACCAATTCTACTACAAAGGCTCACATAAACAGGTTTCTTTCTGTTTTGTGTGATTGACATGTGGTATCGAATTAACCTTTAGTTACCTCCAATGCTCATTGATTTTCCAAATGAGCAATACAAATTGACAGAAAAAGAAGTTGCACATATCCTCCCATATACATATATGTCATCATAATAACGATTAAAATATGTTGATAGTTATGCTGAACACATATGGCATATATTACCAAATTTCTGAAATGAAATGTTCAAATTATGATAAAGAATGTCGCACAAAATTATCAGTTTCATATGGGCAGTTATAATTAACGCACCTTTGCTTATGATCTGTTGGATGTAATACTCGATCAGCTCTTTGCTTGACTGGTGCATTCTCTAGAACGAAAAACACACACTATCAATTGTGTGTTATATGATATGATGGAGTATTAGTATTTCCTGAAAGGCTTTGAACTCAAATACAGTATTATTCGTCAGGTGGGATCATACTTCCACATTATAACACTTGGTAACGTACCACCACTGAATATGGAATGATAAACAGAGACAATGTCTGCAGGAACAGTAGTGAGTATATAAAGACTTTGAACAGTATTTTCGTTACCTTATATCCACTATTTAGCATACAGAATGCCACTTGTTTAGTGTTAAACGATGTGTACATATATTACTACCATTAGTGTACGTTAATGAACATATCTAAAAGGGAGTTATTAAGACGTACCTGATACTGATATCTGGAGAAGCACGAGGCAATATTCCCCATGCTGCCTATATATACTCGTATGACACTGATGTACACTACTCTGTCTGTTGAACTGATCTGACTGAATCAAGAGCTCTAAGCTATATGTGAGCACTGCGGGAAGCCCCTACACAAGAGGGGACACTACTTCTCACTCTCTCTCGCGATTGCTTCAACCAAAGATTTAGGATTTTCGGATTTTCGGATATCCAAACTGATATAAAGGCAGAGTTTGTCAAAGAGGTGTGTAGTGGTGTAAGAGATTATAATAGACCTATATGGGGTCATACCTCTTGGATTTTAAGTTTGTTGTCACATACTATGACAAACAATAATAGAGAAATAACATTACAGCAGTGTCGATAACTGACACGTGGTCACAAAAGCAACATGCGTATGCCGCTTACACAGGGTTACGATGGTTTCTGATGTAGGAGTGTTGTCGCCAATACAATCTATTACTGTAGTGTATATATGTGAGAGCAGACACAACTTCACTGAGATGCCTCTCTCCACTACGTCCAGCTGTTCAGTCAATAACCAAGCCATCCCTTTCAAGGTGCCATGACTTATATGTTAGTCTTGCATGGTAGACCATAGACATGGGAATATTGTCACAAAAAATAGTCTTTTAAAAAGGATAATAGGTCTCAATCTAAATAAGTATCTAGAAATCATGACAATATCTGTGATAATGCAAGACAAAACTAAATACATGTTGTGTACAATAGCTGTGGTCCATTGTGGGTACTGGGTGACCTGGTCAACGTGTAGGATATATGTGGGCGTTGTTTTGGCATTGATATGGAATACCGGCTAGCATAAATAGGTAGCATGTTTAAGGAACATATTGCTGTCTACAGCTATTTTCTATATATTTTAGGCTTTGTAAACTGCAATCAGCAGCCTAAAAACTGAAAGAACAAGACCATAGAATGGATCAGAACTTGATGTTAGACGTGTCAGCAATACGAAAATGTCCATGATTGGACTATATTTATGATTGGATCTTCTTCAGCTGTAGTCAAGTCGTCCACACGGACAGACGGACACACTATCATACCTCTTCCAAATGTCCACTGCAAGGTCCACGTATCATGAATGTTTTTGACAATAATTTCACATACATTCTAATCGTTGACTTTCTTTGTTCCTACACCTTGTAAAACATCTTTCAAACGCAGGTAATGTGATGATCAACAACATTTCTATTAACAGTTCGTTCGTTACATCAATTTCAGTTTCCGGAATTTCAGATGGCTAATGACAGAAGAACCCAATTAGTTATCACTTGCCCATTCTTCCCCGTGAGGGGCGGTAGGGTAGTCCAGTGGTTACAGTGTTCGCTCGTCACGCCTAAGACCCGGGTTCGAATCCTCACATGGGTTCAATGTGTGAAGCCCATTTCTGGTGCCCACCGCAGTGATATTGCTAAAATATTGCTAAAAGCTGCGTAAACATTACACCATCACTCATTCTCTCTTCCCCGTGTACATATGAGGCAGAGTGACTAGTTGTTTCGAAGGACGGATGGATAATTAGCAGTTGCTCAACTTTAATGTCTCACTGGGATGATAATTGTAATAATGTGGTCTCCAGCTAGAGCTGCACTACAGCGTTTCTATTGCTGTTGATATGTAGAATATCTGTGAAACAACTGAACATGTATGTTAAGCTAGGGCAGATAAAATGTGTAGCTCTGAAGCCCAGATGACAGTAAATCATGCATGCTGACGGTATCTTATATAATTAGTGTGAAACGTAGCATGCAGAAAATGTAATCTTCGATTCGCTGATGTTATTATTCGGTCGCTCAGGAAAGATAAATTTCGTTGCACAGACCAAAACTAAGCACCCACCCATCGTCAGCTACACAGAATTATAATTCTACTACATTTGTTACATGTAGGTTACAGTCAACGTCGCATATCATATCACACACGAGGTGAAGAAACGATATATATATCCTGTTACTATATATGACATTTGTTCCTTTCTCAATACCAGCTTATCATCAGTTGGTGTGTAGCATTGTAAAGGAATGACATTTGGAAACACACGTACTTGACCTCATGGAATACAATTCTTCTAGATATTTTCATTCATACTCAGTGGTTATAGGCTGCTTATCAAATCTTCTCAATGTCAACACCACGTGGAGTAAGCTGTCTACTTCAGACGCCGTAAAAGCGTGTTTGATCATAGTATTGAGACGAGAGAAGCCATATTATTACCAATAAAACTCGTATATATGATTTGTTTCTTTTGTATATATGTGTGATGAGGTTTTATTTTACTCGAAAAGCGTAAATTCGTGTGGGATAACACACAATATGTTGATGTTGAGCAGTATATCAATCAATATAAGTTATGGTGTATCAATTAATTGTCTCCTATCATGGGAATCCGGTAAAGTGGACAGGCACACTGACACGTATGCAGGATTTCTGCACTTTCCTCACTTTCTCCAGTAATAATGATGATATTAGTGTTAGATTGTCAGATGTTTTCCTGTCGTTTCCGGAGTGAATGAACGTTTCAATTTCATTCGAAAATATGACGCAATTTTGCATACTCTCACTGCAGATACTAATCTATCTATCGAACTAGGGACTATTCTGGTTTGTCTGAAATGGGGGTTGTCTGTGGGCACTACGCAATAAAACGAAACGAAACGAAACACACTTCAGGCAGCTATATGGCAGATAGTTCATGCAAGATGTGAACAAGACAATCCGACAATCCGACATAGCATATGACGTTTCGTTTGTTTGTCAAAATCAGTTCATAACACTGTGGTTGAGACAAGCAGTTAGTTCTAGGTAGGATACGGACCTCATGTTATACTACTCATCAGGCCTTTAGTACAGGCTGGCCCCTGAGGTATATATGAAAACTAAGTGGTATTAAATGTAATGGAGATGAAGGAAACTCCCTTACAAACAACATGAAGGTTTATCTGAAAGCATACGACGCCGTTGGGTTCGGATGACACCAACACAGCTGAATGACCAACTCTGACCACCTGATTCGCTCCAGTCAGCTCTTGCAGCAATCATAGGATACTGGTGCCTTATTCATCACCGGATTATACACAGGGCAGATGTAATGTAGTATAATCACATGATCATCATCAGTAGCATAAGCTGGGACGCTTGGAACTACTAGCAGTGAGTCGACAGTGTTGTTGTTATTTTAGGTGTGCACTACGAATGACACACTAAGTCGATGGTGATTGGAGAATGTTTAGTATGGCATCCATTTCGAGCGTACATCTACCTCTGTATCTCCACAACGCTCTGACGAGCACAAGGCCAGTGGCAGATCTGCCATTCCTCTCCTTCCACTTGGTGAGCATGTGTAAGGTCTGCATATAAAGTGAAGTTGGGTGTGAAACTTTGCCTTGTTCGATCACCACAAGATTGAGTCCAAGTTCGATTCCAATAGATTCAAACCCGATCCCAATATGATTTGCCACCAGGCTGACACCTTTCTGAGAAACAGGGATTCTCAGTCTTTCCTCATTTACAGGGCCTACAAAACAAATTAACATCACATTTTATGATTTAAAAAATGTGAATGAAAATTATAGATGAGTTTGCGTTTTGAGTAATTTTGTTTTTGTCTTTTCAAACTTACATTTTAACAAACACTTTACAAATCAGAACAGATACGGAAAGTATGTTGCGAGACATAGTACATCTTAATATATGCAGAGGAGAATACATATTCTCTCCACGTCTACAGTATAGCATATGTGTACTTAAGATATTATGCGACGTTCATATTGCATATTTAACATAATCAAATTGATCAAGATGAAAAGGACATATTGAATGACATTAAATAAGCGAACCTGTCAATGTGACCAATGGATTATATGAACGGATCATCTGGGTGTGTGGCTGGTGAAGTCTCTGGAAGGGAGATGTTTATACCATCACATGTCATGTATAAAATTAAATGTTGCAAGCTTATGTCATATATACTTTTCGTGCTGTCATACACACACACACACACACACACACACACACACGCACGCACGCACGCACGCACGCACGCACACACACACACACCCACACACGCATACACGCACACACACACGCACGCGCGCACGCACGTACACACACACACACAGAAATAAAGACAGACTGTATAAGACGATGCAACCACAAACGTGCACATCGACATGCAAACAATGAGCTCGTTAGTTTCTAATAATTAAAGTTCACCTACCCGATACCCAAATCCGGACCAGCATGACACATAATTCCCCATTGTCGGCTCTGTACATACGTTTTACCCTCTGCTTTACTGATCTGCTGTCCGTTCAATCGCTTGCTCTTTATATGTAGGCTTTGTGAAGGGGATTTCCCTAAACTTGTCGACAAAAATTACTGTTGCAGATAAGCGGCCGCGAGTTTATCGACGGGCGTTTATTGAAGCAAGACGCGAGAACGCGAGGTCTTTCCCAGGGTGTAGCAACTAAGAAGACTGAGAGGTAATGCATGCTATACATCATAAATCCGAAAATCCGACTTGTTGTACATTCACTACACAATGTCAACTAGTTAGCGGAAACGTCTTTAGGCTGTGTGTGTGTGTGTGTTTTTGGTTTTGTGTTGTTGTTTTTTGGTGTGTTTTGTGTGTGTGTGTGTGTGTGTGTGTGTGTGTGTGTGTGTGTGTGTGTGTGTGTGTGTGTGTGTGTAATAAAGGAATATCTGCTATACTCTCATCCTGTTGAATTGAATGTACTGGTTACAAAGAGGAATATAGAAAATGGCTATAGTGTACAACAATGTCACATTATCCCAAATAGACTCAATATATTATGTTTTAGATATGATACTAACGTTACAGTTGATGAAGTGTTATTATTAAATAACTGACAATTGAATAACTAGTCTGAAATGCATTGATATTTTTGAATGGACATGTGAATAAATCCAGTTGAAACAGAGAATCTCTGATTGACTGTGTCGGATTTTCGGACTAGCTAAGTCACAAGACAAGTAAACGTTCTTGTCGCCTCTTGATTGACTTGCCGATCGACTACGCCTGTCCTATACTCTTTTTTTTATCGAAAAGTTCAGCATGAGTAGTATTTCATTTTAGTTGTTTTCATAATTATATTGTAGGTATTTTACATGAGTAAAATTTTAAACTCCCCCTTTTGACAATGTTATTGACCCAGGGGGTAAAAAGCACTTAACATCCACGTTAGTGTTCCTGGATATAATGTTAGTATTATGTGACGTACATTAGTGTAGAAATAGTACAAACTATACAAACATCTCGTTCTAGTGATGTTTCAAAGTGAATGTCACGTGGACCAATATGCCTTCAGCTTCGACTTATGTCATCTACATTTCCCTGTTGCTTATGTACTTAAACGCATGTGCATATTATTCAAATGTCCTGGAAAGACACATTTTTCTTACAACTAAGCTTAAATTCAATCAAGATTCAGCATCACAGGCCTGATCAAGTCATCCCAGAAATAGGAAATAAGGTAATTTTTTTACGAAATATGACATGCTACCTGTCAAAGTCATTTGCAATTCTATCCCTTATAATTACTATGACCTTTGCAGGGAGATTTCACACATCCTTACTCACTTCCTTAAATGGATCGGATGGTCATGCTTGGTGACTTGGTTGACAGCGTGGCGTAGTAACCCGACGACGTGAATCATTGCTCATGATAGTGATCCCTGGATTCTTTGGTCGAGACTCGGGTATTGCTAGTATCGGCATTTGGCATACATACAGATAAAATAGTGTTTCTGTGTGTATGTGTGTGTGAGTGAGTATGTGAGTGTGTGTGTGTGTGTGTGTGTGTGTGTGTGTGTGTGTGTGTGTGTGTGTGTGTGTGTTCGTGTTTGTGTGTGTGTGTGTGTGTTCGTGTGTTCGTGTTTGTGTGTGTGTTTGAACGAACAAAAGACAAACAACAACTTCAAACTTTTCATGAAGATGTTTCTGCAGAATGTTTCCTTCGCAAAACTGAAATTTGAAAAGGATCACATGTTTTCATATCCGGGAAATACTTAATGGGCGTGAAAGCATGAATAGCTGCATAAGAGGAAAAATAGTGGTGGTGTGGATTGGCACACAGGAGAAATGAGACAAGCATGCTGTTAACCAAAGTAAATCGTCTCGTGCACCAATACACGTGAATGTGTTTGCTTTTCAATAGTACATAATATGATATGAACTTATACACATTAGCAGGTCATTTTGCGTTGAGAGCTCAATGGGATATAACAACATAGCGAAGAACTTCACTTGAACTGATTGCGAAAGCGGAACCTTCTACTGTTTAATTGACCTCGATGTGTACGTACAGCAGTTGAATCATCTCACATCTATTTTCTATACATCAAGTTTTGATAAAAGCGACATGGGTAATAATCAAGGAATATCTTCTAATATTTTCCTCCTGTTCAATTAAATGTACTGGTTACAAAGGAATATCTGGGTAATAATAAAGGAATATCTGCAAATATATCGTCCTGTTCAATTAAATGTACTGGTTACAAAGAGAAATATCGAAAAATGGTTACAGTATACACCAATGTCACATTAGCCAAATAGACTCAACATAATATGTTTTAGATATGGTACTGAGGTAACGGCGCTGCAGTGCGCATTGGTTATTGCAGAGCATGTGTCGGATCTTAAATAACTGACAATTGAATAACTATTTTGAAATGCATTGATATTTTTTTAATGGAATTTTGACATGTGTTATTATTAAATAACTGACAATTGAATAACTATTCTGAAATGCATTGATATTTTTGAATAGATACGTGAATAAATCCAGTTGGAACGGAGAATCTCTGATTGACTGTGTCGGATTTTCGGACTAGCTACGTCACAATCGCCGCCGACAAGTAAACGTTCTTGTCGTCTCTTGTACCGGGTCTCGACTACTTCTGTCCTATACCCTGAAGCTGAGATTGTTTTGTCGAAAAGGTACAAAGTAAATAGTATTTCATTTCAATGGTTTTCATAGTTAGAGTGCAGGTATTTTACATAAAGTAACATTTTAAACTCCCGCTTTTGACAATGTTATTGAACCCAAGGGATAAAATGCATATGTGACATACATTAGTGTAGAAATGGGACAAACTATACAAACATCTCGTTCTAGTGATGTTTCAAAGTGAATGTCACGTGGAATAATATGCCTTCAGCTTCAACTCATGTCATCCATATTTCCCTGTTGCTTATGTACTTAAACGCATGTGCATATCATTAAATTTCCTGGAAAGACACATTTTTGTTACAACTAAGCTAAACTTAAATCAAGGTTCGGCATCATAGGCCTGATCAAGTCATTCCAGAAGTAGGAAATTAGGTAGATTTTTTTACGAAATATGACATGCTGCCTGTCAAAGTGATTTTCAATTCTATCCCATACTATGACCTTTACATGGAGATTTCACACCTTCTTACTCACTTACTTAAATGGATCGGGTGGTCATGCTTTTTGACTTGGTTGACAGCGTGAAGTGTCTTTGGTCGAGACTCGATACTTTACAGGCCACCGTGATATGTCAGGAGTATTGCTGGTGGCGGCATTTGGCAACATCAAACAGCTTACATCTTTTATGAATTTTATGAGTGTGGCGGGTGCTTCTGGTAGAGCATTACATGCTAATCATTCTGTGGAATACCTGGTGTCATCACTGATTTCCAGTGATCCATTCATATACTTTTCATCACTATTTCATCTTTTCTATGCATAAAAAAGTGACAGTGTTTCAGGCTTCTCTATTATTGAGAATATGACTTGTATGTTTGTCATTCGTATACTTTGTCAAGATATTTGTAGAATGTAGGGGAGCATATTATTGAATACAAAAAATCGGATTTTCGAAACAACTAGATTTGTCATCCCTACAACTCTGTTGCAATGGTGCATAGATATGAATGCAGTCACTAATTGTCCAAATGTTTTATGGTAAAAGTGTAGAAGACTGGATAGGATAGCCATTTCCTTGTCTGTGACGGGTGCCACCAGTGGGATAGGATACCTTTTCGCGAACTTCTGGTATCATCTCTATTTGATTTCATACCCGAGAACCACTACCGCCCATAACCAGTATTTGCAAACTTCCAACCAGGACTATAATAGAGCTACTATAGAAAGTAGAACACTGATTGTCGTCCATAATCAATCAGCAAAATTCTACGGCCGACAAACCCTTGTGAAATTGTGCAAAAGAAGAGACAACAAATAAACAGTACACTTGGAACAACATAACACAAATAATTTGACTGTTCAATCGTGACCGGATATTGTAGAGGCAAATCGTTATGTGAGAGGCAATTATGTCTCCGGATTTTCGGATTACGGATGACGTTAAGACCACAAGTATTCATCCCTCGCTAGTTCATCCTCAAATATAAGAGACAGAAAGACAAGATGTTACAAAAGGCATCACATCAATTTATTAAAAGCATTTATTCTCAACATATACAAATAGAATCACAATGTATTACAAACGGAAAAGATATTACTGTCTAAATAAAGGGTGTTCAGTGTGCAACTTGAGGAAACAGAAAATCAATCAGATCATTTAGGATCCCAATCTATGTACAAAAGCCTCAGTGAACCTAGCATCTCGACTCGATATTTCAAAGTGGGAACCCAATGAATCAATGATAACTGTACATGAGAAGAGTGTTCAGTGCAGCGCTCGTATATGAGAAAACATAAATGTAGGCATTATTTCTCTGTATGTGGTCGGGGAAACTCAGTGAAGCATTACTTATATACCCACTCGTGTATTCACAGCGTAAAGCAAGACAGTGTCAGGTGAAAACAGCTCTCCAACTTGATTACACAGACACAGTGGACGGTCCCTGAAGGATGCTGAGAATGTCCTCCCACTCAATGGTACACCTGTCATTGCAACTCCGCAGTGCTCTGACAAGGACCAGGCTGGTTGCAGTTCTCCCGTTCTTCTCCTTCCACTTGGTAAGCATGTGCACAACTTGCATGTATAGTGAACATGGATGTGCACAAGTCACTTGTTCGATAACCACGAGAGTCAGTCCAAGTTCGATGCCAACAGACTCGAACCCAATCCCGATATGACTTGCAACAAGGCTGAGATCTCTTCCAGATACAGGAGTATCCAACATCTCATCATTTAAGGCATATGCTTGGTTCCAGTGTGTTGGCCCTACAACATTAAACTCACAATAAACTACCTATTTACTTGTGTACATTTTGTTTGATAGATGATGTTACAACATTCAGTTCACATTCATTATTCCAAATAGCTTCACTAAACAAAAACATTTGGTACATACATAAAGTAACGTAAACAGAAATCATTTGGTACACACAGAACTAAACTTCCTGAAATATAATAAGACAAGCAAATTGTTTAAATTCAATAAAACTAAAA